TAATTATCTTAACTAATTTATAAAAAGCCGGATCTATAATAAGATCTAAATAATATCTAGATATATAAACTTTAAATTTATAGCTCTTAATTCCGGTATTCTTATTAATAAAGGAAATATCTAGAAGCTTAGTAATACTTATAATTCTTAACTAGTAAACTAGAAACTCAGATAAGAGGTATTTAATAATATAATTATATATAAACTAATAATAAAAAATCTATTAATTACTTTATTATAATTAAAGTATTAGAATATTATTTATAAAAGGCTAGTTAATATAATTATTATTTAATAGTAATTAGACTAAACCAAATATAATATAAGATTTACTAGATATTATATAATTACTAAAAAAGGAAATTAGTATATAATATTACTATCTAGTTTATTTACTAAGATTTCTCTTAAGAAATATATATATAATATTAGTTAAGATAAAATACTTAATTAATTTCATATAAAGTATATTTATAATAAACAAGAATTATAATATTATAATAAAAGTAAAAGTATTATTAATTATTAGAAAAGAAATTAAAATATATAATAAATATAAAAAATATTAGAGAATAATATAATTATTATAGCTTTATTAATAATAAATAAAGAAATAGTTAAGGTTATTAAGCTTATTAAATAAAGAGGTATTATATAGTAATATATATATATATCTTTTTATTAACTAGCTTATTATATAAATATTATTAAGCTTTCTTATCTAAGATATAAATATATTTTTTATTAAGAATAAAATAATATATATTTATAAAAGGAAATTAATAGCTATAAAGAAAATAAAAAAGCTAGAGTCTTATAATAAAACTAATATAAATTATTTTAAGTATTTAGTTAGAAGATTTAGTAATATTATATTAATAATAATTATAGGTAATTATATATTAGAAATAATTAGAAAAAGAAATAAATATATTATCTAGAGTTATATTCTATATAAACGACTATAATTCTTATACTAAATAATTTAATAAAGGCTAAGTAAATATTATAAGGAAATATTATAGGAACTTATCTTAAGCTATAATATAAGAATATAATATAAATTAATAATAAATTCTCTAGAATTATATTTTTATTAAGAAATATAAATAGAATAGTTTAAATACTTATTTAAAACTAGAAAAGTAAAATAAAAGAAATATTATAGAAAAATTATTAAGCTAAGTTTTATATAAAATAATATAATTTAATAGAAAGTATAAAGAGATATTAGGTTTCTAAATAACTTATTATAACTAAGGGCTTAGAAAAGTTCAGAGAAAAAGCTAGAATTATAAAAGTAATTATTATATTATATAATAAGAATATAATAAGAAATATAATTTAATAGGAAATATAAACTAAAATTAAATACCCGAGTATCTTATTATAACTAGATATCTAGAAGAATTCAAATAAATTACTAAAATATATAAGAGCAGGAATTATATTATATAATAAGAATATAATAAAAGAATATAACTATAATATCGGGATTCTAATATATAAGCTATATATATTTAGTATTAAATTAGAATATTTCCTAATATAAAAGAAATATAGGAATTAGAAATATAAGTATTTAGGAATTAAAATATATAATATAAGGTAATTAGAATAAATATAAGTTATATCTAATTACTTGAGATATTATAACTAATTATAAAGTAATATTAAGTAGTATTTCTTTTCTAGGGAAATATATTAAGAAATAAAGTTAATAAGAAATAAAAAAGCTATAATTAGGAAATAGCCTATAAAGTAATATTAGAAAAATAGTTAATATACGAGAAATATACTAGAAATAAAAATTTAATTCTTAGTAAATATATTATAAGAACTCGAGAATATGAATTAAAAGAAGAAAAAAATTAAATTAATAGTAATAAATTAAAAGAGGCTGAATTATAATATTCGGGGAAAAAACAAAATAGAGAAAGAAAATTAAATCTAATTAGAACTAAAAATAAAAGAGTTAGTTTTATAAAACTAAATATATTAGAAGACTAGGAATTAGTATAGGCTATAAGTTATAGGGTAATTTCTCCTATAACTTTAGCTCGAGAGCTTTATAAAATAAATTAAAATATAAACTTAAAAAGTTTTAAAGAAAATAAGTTATTACTTTTTATTATTTAAATTATAATATAATTTAGTAAATTTAAGTTATTATTATTTTTTCTCTTAATATTATTAGTTAGTAAAAAGTGGTTTATATAATAGTACTAATAGTTCTAGTATATATCTTAAGCTTATTTCCAGGATAATATTTATAATTAATACTTATAATAAAGAATTATTAGTTATATTTTCTCAAGAATATATACTAGAGTAAAATATAAAATATATTTCTTTAAAACTTAATTATTATTAATATTAAGTAAGATATTATAACTTTTTATAAGCTTCTAGTTATTTCGTAATATTCTTACAGAACCCAAATAGCTAGTACTAGTTATTAGATAAAGATATAAGAATATATTTTTAAAGTTACTTTTATTTTTAATTTTATTTATTAGAACCTAAAGCCTTTAAGTATTATAATACTTTAGTAAATATATTAGATTATATATAGTTTATTATAAAATATAATAATATATTAATAAAGTATTAATTACTACTTATAATAATATATAATTAATCTAATTATATTAAAGTTATAAATAGCTCTTTATAATACCTTAATATCTGAATTAGTTATATTATAATTTTTTAATTACTTAGTTTGGGAGAATTTAATCTTAAATATCTCGGTATATAAAAAAAGATATAATAAAGGCCGAATTAGTTAATATTTAATTATATAAGAAAGCTATATTCTTATTAATTCTATAATAATCTCTTTATAAGAAAATATTAATATTATAAGTTAATTATAATAATATAATTAAGATAAAGAAAGCTAATTTTATTTTAAATAGAATTATTTTTATATTTATAATTAAATAATATATCTAATTTTATTTATATTATATATATAATAAAGTTTCTATTAATAATAATTCTTACTAGGTTCTAGAAAATAGTTATAGTTAATATAATAAGCTAGAATATAATATATTTTCTTTTCCCTAATATAATTTTTTATAAATAAAAGTATTATATTCTAAAAAGCTAAAATAAGAAGCTTAATTCTTAATAAGATATATATATGAAACGGGAATAGGAAATAGTTATAAAGCTATATTATAGATATTTAATTACTAGTTAGCCTATATTAATTATATAGTAAAAGTACTAGAGCCCGGGGAATTTATTAATATAGAGAATTAGGCTTAATATTATAGGAGTTATAAAAGGCATACTATTATTAGTTTTTAAATATTATTTCTTTTATATAATCTAGTAGTTCGAATTTTAACTTACTAGCTATATTAGATATTTACGGAATAGGCTATATTATTATATTATTATAAGAGATTTCGAGTTTAGTATCTTAAAATATATATATATATATTTTATAAGAGAATAATAGAAATTTTCTAATAGGCTATTAATTAATTTTTAGATATTAATTTCATATTTTATAAACTAATTAAATAGCTATATTTTCTCAGAATTTAATCTTTATTTCTAATATATAATTCTAGATATAACTAATATTTACTAGTTATTATTTAATATTTACTTTTATAATTAATTATCTTTACTTTAGTATATAGTAAAATAGATCTATATAGATTCTTTACCTGAATAGGTCTTTCTTAATAATTAGATTAAGATATAATTTACTAGATAATTATAATATAAATTAATATATAAAGTAAGAAATAAGGAAATATACTTTAGTATACTCTAATAATATTATAAGATTAAGGAAAGAATTATGGCTTGTATAAGACTAATAAGAGGCTTAATAACCTCTTTTATAGCTAGTATAATATAACTTAAACTTGTATTTTATTTATATTTAGTATTTATATTTCTTATAGTAATAGCTAAAGTATAATTTGAAATATTTTATTTATATTAATTTTTTTTATATTTTCAAATAATAAAAAAATATAAATTAATAATATTTTTACTTATATTAAATTCTTTTTATTTTCTTTATTAATATAAGATTACTAGTAATAAGTTTAATATTTTATATTATATTATTTATTATAATATAAAGAGAAAAGAATTTGATTTACTAAAATAATATTAAAAAGTACTTATAAAATTAATTTTATAGGGCTTTATTTACTATAGAATTAATTTTATAATAAAGGAAAGTTGAATCTTAAATTTATTTAGTAGATAAGAAATCATATACTATAGTATTAATATTATAGGAATATGGTATTATAGTATGGAAGCTATAGGTATAGAGAATAAAGCTATTTGTAAGGCTTGGCAAAAGATATACCTTAGGCAAGAGTAGTAAATATGCATTATACCCAAGGAGGCGAGTATGTATACAGGGTCGCAAGATAGTATATAAGAAATAGGGCATTATATAGAAAAACTTATAGAATTGACGATTTTCTAATGTGGGAGGTCAGGAGGGATTAAACAGTTCTCTCTTTGCATAAGCACCTGTTCTAGGATCTGCCCAGAGAGGGTGCTTATGCATTCCAATCAGAGTTGGCCTCCTGTCATTTCCCCTTTGGGCATATACCCATGTTTTAGGAATGCTACGCGAGCAAAACAGGGATGTTACAGGGATTGGCAGGGGCACACTCCTTTTGTATCTATCTGCGCCTCGATTCAAGAGTCGGCGCCGATGGTGGCGTTGAGACAACTCCGCCTCTACTCAGGCACGCATCATATGATCGCGAAGTCGTTCCTTTCCTTTCACTTTCTGCATGAGGAACAACGGACACGACATGCTCAGATCGGCTTTGACATTAAAAACGAGCCTAGTAAGCAAGAATGGAGGAGAACTCCAAATCGGACGACGGCTCAAACTGGAAACGCTTATCAAAACCGTTCAAAAGGACAATGAAAAGCAGAAAGAAAGACACGGCTAAAAATGGCGAGGATCTAGCGGGCGTCAACAAAATTTTCGTGCTACAATGTCGCGCTTACTTGAAGGATATTCCGGCATTGGCGACATTATCAAAAGTCTACATTCTCACGGAGGGTCACTCGTATATGGTATTCTTTTAATTCTGCTCATAGTGAGTATAATTTACCATGCTTATTTCACTAGACCACGTTAGTATAACAATACCTTCAGGTGTGCCGAAACAAAAAAGACCGGGAGGATATGATTACAGTGAGCCTTGAGAACGTAATTAATTGGCTGCACATTACACCATCGTATCAAGATGTTTACCAAGACATTAAGACCCAAAGGTTGACCTGGTTAGTAGTTAATGTGTACAAGTCGATGTACAGCTTTGTTATTGGCATATGCACATATGCAACGTCAAAGCGAGGTACGAATGCCTTTTCCAAATCCAAAGTTCTATTCCGACAGAAAATTGGTGAGATATGGCAAATCTTTCATACCGTCAAAGTATAATACACAATAGGCCATTGGTAAAATGAAGGTTGCTATCGATGCTATGAGCGAGGAGACAACATTGCACCTGCATATGCGAGTCCGCGAAGTCCGAAGCGACAACAAAACATTGCAACAAAAGGTCGATGACATGAACCAGCGTCTTAGAGGTATGAAGTCGAGACCAAATTTGCCAAAGCTTCGAGGCTACTGCTAATACGACATGTAAGTTAATGATCAAGCCAATTGGGACAACTTCATCTCCCGCATTCAAAGCCACTTCAATGTCCCTGAAGCTCCTGATTACCCTTGTACAGAGCATAAAGTTTGCAAAGTCGCTACAGCCAGTTTAATGGACAGCGATGATACCGAAAGCACCGCTAGCATTGAAGAAGGCAACTTGGAAGTTCTCCACGAGCGAGCTGAATTCAAAGAGTAGAAAGCCTACTCCAGGAGCTCTTTGTTACTTCTGAGAGTAGTAAATCACCGAGACGCTGATACCAACGCACCTCTCTGGCTATCACGAGCAGTTGCCGAACTTGCCACTAATCTGCGACAAGGTTCGCAAAGGACACTTTACCATGTCGTGAAGAGGAACCACAACGCACTTTGCACCACCATCGGAGATATTATCCATCAGATAATGAGGTGGAATGAAGCCTTCTACAGGGAGCATAAACAAGCTGTTGAGAACGGCTTAGGACTGAAAGATATCCGACTCGAAACGTGGCTGGAGCTTGCAAACCTTCTGCTCACCGCCTGGTCAGTCGCGCACCAGCAGGATTGGACCTATCTGATAATGGATGGAGTGGACCAATGGATTCGCGGGTCGGGAGCCCAAGTTCCAGCGGATTTTGAATTGGTGATGAAAGGCTTCCGCGGGATGTTGGAGAGCAACTTCCCGAGGATCAAGATGTGTCTCCTGGTTGACGATAGTCATTGGTCTTTCCACATCCAAACCTACATGAACTTGCTTAATTGGCGTGGAGGTTTGATAGATACCAATGGTTGGTAGCAAGCAGACTCCCCGTATATATAAGGCGGATTGAGTTATTATGGCTTGTGATAATAGACAGTCTATGGTCTTTTTCGCAGGTCTATATGATTAGCCTTCGATGGGTTCAATGGAGAGAGAATTCGATAAGGTGATCACTTGATCTTATAAAGTTGTAATTGCCCAAGGGATCGAAAGTGATTCTATAATGAGAAGCCCTCGAATAAGGACTCCTTCAGCTAGTACCAATATGGATAACTGCAAGAGAGAGGAACAGTAATCATGTGACTCTAATATATCTAACACACCCACTCAAATAGTACTTTATAGGGGCAATATAAAAAACAGTCCAGAGAGACTTGTTTGCAATTGAAGTGGAAGGTCAGGCGGGACAGGTATCAGAAAGGACGAGAGTCGCGATGATGTTGAGGACGCAGGAAAGGAGAAAGAAGAGGTCAGAAGAGAAATGATTCGTCTGTTTCGCCTACTAGCGCACACTGAGACTCACTTCAGGAAGTCCAGTGTCTCCTTTTTCCGGGTAGCACCCAATAGCGACCACAGTGTGGGGCACACTTCAGGGGGGTTCCTCTTGTGTTATCCCTCCCAACGTTCGATCTGATGTGAGCGCACACGCAATGCGCGAGTGCCACGTGGGTGGTGTTACACTTTAAAAAGCAAGCTACTCTATTTCTACCTGACAGAAACCATTGTTTCGCAAGAGAACGGAAAAACCATGAGCGAAGATACGACATGTGTAGTGATCTGGATACATGGAGACACAACTGATCTCGCAATAGTTTCCGGTCCCGCCCTATGTCATCCATGCCGACGCTTGAGTTGGCGGATTTGTCATAGCCGCCAACGAGTGTATGTTCTATTTGCAATACGTCGTTATCATTGGTTTTCAGGGCGGAGGGGTACTCCCCAGGCCCACCGCCTCTGGGCTGTTATCATCTCCTATTACACAAGTTGTACTGTTGAAGATCTGTTGTTCTCCACTCAGCTTTTGCGTGCTGGCGACCCAGAGACCTCTCCGACTGTTCGATGCGGTGCATAAATGGAAACGGTTTCAAACAGCCGTCGGTTTACACAGTCTTGCACGTCGCTGTGTCATGTCAGCTAATATCACGTGCTCCCCTGTCTCAGGGTCAAGGGGAATCGAGTGGGAGCTGTCCCTGAAGCCCTTGTCTGCCTTCTTCTGCGATTTACAACAAACATCTGTGTTCTTCCAAGCCCGACCATCGGTCCGCTAGGTTTAAGACCAATTCCGTACCCGTGTTGCCGCTAACCTTATGGTAGAGGAGCGGTCCGAAACTCTAAACAAACGAGACTTGAAGTTCTTCCTTTTAACCTGTTTCTCTATACTCAGCGATTTATTTTCTTCCGTTTATTTGCTGATAATGTTCGAGGAATACCGTCCAAGAGAGTTATATGTTGCTCTCTAGACTCTAGCTCCCTCCTCCCCTCAGCCAGCCCAAGTTACACCGCGTTGAATATATATAACACTACAGAGGTCTTGTTGTAGGATAAGCAACTATTTAAACTATTCTATATTTACATCTACTATACACGGGGCACGTGTCCAGGGGCAGCGGAGATCACTGACGAACGCACAGGCGGCCTTCCATACTCACTGCGTGGACTCTGTGAAAAATCATGCAGATCGCTGACATCCGAGTATCCGCTATCGCTTAGCACAGTCCTTGCACGTCCAACTGAGTTCTGCGACTGGAATCTGTCCATGTTTTCCTGCGAAAGCGCGTGTGGCGAGTAGTTAAAATACCCACGAGGCGGGGATGCGTTGTTGAGGGGCGGAGGAGTCGGTTGGCCGTAGATGTTGTATGTTATATTTGGACCTTGTGGTGGTAAGGGCCCTCCAGGGTGACCATGGTTGGTTGGTCCGAGTTGGATGTTTTCAGATGAGGAGTTGTTCGGATGTTGTGACTGTTTGGGGTTCGTGGGAGGAGCGGGAAATATAATCGACTTGAGAAAACCCAAAATGAGCACAAGACCAATGAATGACCCAAAGGCGATTCCTACGATCTCAAAAGTGCTCAATCCGGAGGTAGTGGATGCAGTTGATTCTGAGCCTGTTGAGCTTGTTGCAGCAGATCCACTTTCCGATGCCGTCTTCGAGCCACTCCCAGTCACTAACGCTTGACCCACAAAGGTGCTTTCTACGGTTTGCGTAAAAGGCGAATTGGCGCAGCCCCATTGCGACATCGGGATCGTACCGTTCCAGTATTGGGAGAAGCAATACTTGCTACTCTCAGCCGTGCTGCAAGGTTGTGCTGTTAGCCCAGAGCCTCGCGCATTCGAGATGAGGGACATTTACCATTTCAACGTAGACAGATCATCTTGGCAGGTAATGTTGCACGCGGTGACATAAGCGGTCGAGTCCAGACATGTTGTTGGGGGGAAACACATGACGAGACCGGCGCAGCAGGCGTGCACGCTCTGGGAGGTGAATGAGAAACACGATTCCTCCTGCGGGCAAGTCACCGGCGATGCTATAACAGTTGAAAATCAGATCCGCCTCAAAAACGCCAAGACATACAGAGGGACTACTACGAAATGCCGCTCGTACCTGCATCGCCATTGACCCAACCACATGTTGTCGACGCCAAGGTCCTCTGATGTAGGCGGCGAGCAACCAGTGCCGCGTCTGGTGGAGCCGTTGGCTCAGGCGATGGCGATGCCAGCGTAACAGGCGCAGGCCGTTGCATCTCTATTTTCCTCTCCTCGTCGAACGCGTCGCAATCGCGCTTTACAGTTTCTCGAGCCTGGGGGGACGAAAATGTTTTTATGAGTACCTCCCCTACTCCCTTCCTCCGCATATGCGAGGAGACGGCGGGTTCTGGCGGGCCGCCCCGTCGCCTCCCCGCTACTCTGTACTTTACTGTACTACCTTCAGCGATATCTTACCGAGCGAAGCGCTGCAACCTTAGCCCTGCACCAGATGCATTGTTCTCGCTCCTTTAAGCCTCTTTAAGCTGCTGAGGGGCCGAACTGCCCCACCAGCTAATCTTGGGCCAATACCGTAGGATTAGTTCGCGCCGGCAGGCTTCCCATAAGGCAGCCTGGACGCAGGAGAAGCAACTATTGAAAGTTGAAACAGCCACAGCGGCTCCTCATTAAGCTTTTGACTCCCTCTGTGTAGCCTGCTCCATCTGGACACCTTTCGTTGGGCTCTATGTGAATGTCGCATTTGAGAACACAGGCTTTCGTGTCAGATCCAAATATCTCAACACAAGATGGCGGAGCCTCTGCGACTTCTCTCCTTAGGTTTGTCGGCCGACGCTGTGCGTGATCCACACATGCTGACCTTGCCTAGATGGCGGCGGAGTGCGGGGACTTTCGACGATCAAAATCCTCAAGCACATGATGACGATGATAAGTAACGAACGCGGTCGACAAGTGAATCCATGGGAAGTCTTTGACATGATGGGGGGGACAAGCACAGGCGGGTACAGAAACATTTCCGAACAGTGATATGGCGAAATGACTCATACACACACAGCCTTCTTGCCATCATGCTAGGCCGACTTCGTATGTCTGTAGATGAATGCGAAGAGGCATATCTCGATCTGTCGCGCAACATCTTCAAATCCAGACGCACAGAATCGAACATCTTTGGTCGAGGCTCCGATTTTCTCCAGGCAAATGGGAAATTCAGCACCGAGGAACTGGAAGCCGCCATCAAAGGAATAGTCAGAAGTAAGAGCAATACAGAGGATACGCTTCTACGAGAAGACTCAGCCCCGCCATGTCGGGTGTAAGATGCCTACCTTGTGATCTTCTAATTATATCAAGAATAATACAACTTGCTAAGATAATCTCAAAACAGATTTGTGTGCGCTGCCACAGCTAGCACAAGCACACACACCAACCTTCGATCATACAAGACCCGTTTCCTACCAGATTTCAACTCTGAAAAATGCACCATCTGGGAAGCTTGCCGGGCGACCTCGGCCGCCACGGGATTTTTCGAGCCCATCACAATTGGCTCTTGTGGCCAGAGATTCATCGACGGAGCCATAACGTACAACAACCCAGTTCAACTTGTCTATAACGAAGCCCAAGATATTTTCGGACAGAGTCGGGCTGACAACGCGATATTGGTATCAATTGGCACAGGACGAGGTCCTCTTAAGCCGTTCCAAGGCAATCTAAAGAACATTGTCGAAGCAATGAAAAAGCTCATGACAGATTCGCAGAAGGCCCATGACGATTTCTCGAACAGCCACCACAGTATGGTGGATAGGAATCTGTTCTTTCGGTTCAACGTGTATCCAGGCCTAGAAGACGTTGGTCTGCACGAGTACGCACAAGTGGGCAAGATTGAAAGCGCAACGGAAGATTACTTGAAAAACGGCGATACGCTGCGAGTGTTTAATAGGTGCATACGCATGCTATTACTTGAGCCACAAGGATCAACGGTGGATTTAAGATCCCCAGAACTATTCGATACGACACGCACTCCTTTAACGCCAACTGTACCTGGTTCAAGAGGCGAGCCCGAGTTTCAAGAACACCCCATACCCTCACTTGAACCGACGAGAACAATATCGACGGCTCCAACCAGTGCGGATGAGCGAGTGGCACACCTGTTGAGGGCGCAATATAGCGATCCAAGCCGTTTTTGTATGTAGAGGCATTTTGCTAGCAAGCATTCTGATCGGGGCTAACGCTTGGAGGATCTGAAGTAGATGCTATGGACGAAGGTAGAGCATTAATGGACCAACAAGACCTCAGACGTGCCAAAGAGCACTTCGCTCGAATCCTCACGGATCTCCATGCACACCCTGGTGAACCTGCGCAGCTCCTGCGCGTTTACAGAGCGCTCACAATCGTTGAGCTGACGATGACCTTTGGGAAGATCAGTTTCGACGATAAGAAGCATCGCTTGCAGACTGCGATCTTTTACAACGATAAAGCTTGTCAGCTTGCGCGAAGTTACGTCACTGACCGCGGTGGATTGGCACTGGTAAAGCTGCAGCGAGCTATTGTGAATGGCAGAATGGCGCAATTGGAGGCCAAGCAGGGTAATGGCGTTGATGAGGTGGCGAAAAATTGGAAAGCTACGACTCTGAGGCATATAAATAGCGCTCTTGATGAATTGCGGTGGTCGAATCATGAGGGGTTTGAAGACAGTCAGAGGTGGGCTCATGAGTGGTTGCAGTCTTTTGGTTTCGCACCACCTTATAATTCACCCTGATCAACAGTGACCAACTTCAAATCTACATATTTCTGATCTGATATCGCTTGTTCCGTTGGCAAAGAAGAACCACAAACGGAATTGGGTGTGACGTGATTGGCTTCCTTGAAACTCATTCCCTTCGAAGTTTTCCAGATGATGAATTATGGTTTTTTGAGCGGTAATGTTACATTTGGAGGTTGTGAGCCTTTTGCAAATCATGGTCTAATGAAGCACAAAACCCTAGGCCAACTAAGTGTCTTCTAGCAAGACGCTGGGGAAAGGGAGCGGACTCTGCCTCAGGACATAGCCAACAGAGGTGAAAAAGGACAAACCCCATTTCAATTAAGCAAGGCTATGAGGAAACGGTCGGTTTATTATAACTAGATTCGACAAAACTACAAGGAGAGGGCCATACATCCGATAGGTAGCGTTTTCTGCGCCTCACAAATTCCAGGGCTTGGCTCAGCCACAGTCTACGCCTTGCTCATCGCCTCAATAAAAGCACGAAGAGCCTTGGGATAATAATAAGCCCAAAGCCTATAAGAATGGGCAATTCGGCAGGCCCTCAATAATTCCTTCGCCATCTTGACCGACCAGCACTATGGGTGGGCTTGAAATCGCCAACGACCTCGAGCAAGGCCCTCCCAAGAGTGGAAATCGTAATCAACGTCAATATGAGATGCGAAACGTCCCTCAGAGCGAATATCACGAGAGATTTGTGGAGGTTAACTTGCAGTATCGGCCATGGCTAGACATCCTTCATCAGTTCATGTCTCCCAACCCGGAGGAATTTGAAGTTAATCCGCAGCGTCGCATGCTGCATTTCGACATCAAAGTTATCCACGTTTCGACATCTGGAAATATCGAATCACTAATCCACTGCCTTACTCCAACAAAGTTCAAGGATGCAATCAGCGGAGAAGAAGGAAAAGAACGAAGCGGCACTCTCATTATCGCCAAGGACCTTTCACGGGCAATGATTGATTTGCTAGGCATGGAGTATGAGCTTGAGCCAGAGTTTTTTGCTAGTCACTTGGAAGGGACAGAATCTTTTCGCATGGGCCGTTGGGAATCCCCAACTTTGCGGCCTCCTGCCCGAGCACCAATCCTTCTGCCGGATTACCTTAGAAAGGCTCCCTTCTACACAGTTCAATATTGGCGACCGTACCAAATTAAGGACGGAAAAGAGGAAGTCTTGAAGCTAAGGTCAAGTGAAACTAACACTGGAAGAGGCGCACATGTCCTCAAGGACGACTTACCAGACATATTTGTCTCCGAAAAAATCTCGGCATACAAAAAGCCGGGCTCGAATATTGGTAAGCTAGACTGCTTAATAATAATCATTAACACATTGAGAGCATGAGGAAGCCTAACGTGCGACATGTTTTCTAGGAATCATTCTTACCGATCATCTCCTTTCAAAAGTTCTACCCGCCTCCTACATTCGAAGCCCAATCACGATTCTTGATGACGATCGTAGCTCCCTAGGCAATGACGGCCGAAGATACCAAGTTTCATCTCGAAGAGAGCTCATCGGATGGCTCCAGCAACTTACGCCTGAGGAAAGGAAAGATCTTTTCAACTGTCATGAACCGCTAGCTCTCCGACCCACCCTAAAAATGGTTGAAAGAACAAGCGCTATGTTCTTAGTACATGCTCGATACATCATGCGTCGTATGTTGAACCGCATCTGCGACGATAAATTCCCCAATAGCATCCCTTTCTTCCTTTCCATTTCCCGTGCCCTGCATCGGCATATCCTCGACCAGCAGAAGCTCCTGCTGTATGCACTACGTGTTGCATCTCTCAGAGGCGGTGGGAATATTGCAGAGCAGATAGAGGATTTTGATTTCCTGGTGGAGGAAATGGATAGGGCGTTGAAGGCTTTGGAGGAGGATGTGCGTTTTCTAGTTTCGGCAGCGTCTATAAGAGAGGGGAAGATCGTAGGCTGGGTGTCAAAGGTTGCTGCTCTTTTCTTGCCATTATCATTGCTGGCTACGCTATTAACTATTAGTGATCCGGGATATACTAGGTGGGCCATTTTGGGCGGTCTAGGTGTCCCGTTTGTATTAATATCGATCTTTTTTATGTTCTTTTGGAAGCCGCCTCATATAAATACTCTTAGGTATTAATTCCGAAAAGAATAGTATGTTTATCGATTAATACTATAAATCCGATTTCGTTTCTGCAACTCTCTTAACACGAATCTTACTGCGCTGTTCGGATAGCTAATTACTGGTTTCATTAGTAATTTTATTATAAAAGGGGTTGTATTCAAGACGTCGCCGTTAGCGACATATATATGAAAACTTAAGCCAGCGTTAGCTAATAATAGGGCATAGAACTGTTCCTTGCAATAAACTCCTAAGCAAACGATAGTATGTGAACGGAGGCAGGTTGAGTTTAGCGAGCAGCTCCGGTAGAGTAAGATAGCGACAAGACCCTCTGGATTTAGCAGTTAGAACCCGATTACTATGGTACGGCAGGTCGTATTGTATTCATTTCGTCGTGTTTTAGTGGCTAGTTGCCTGGTCACCTGACGTCGGAAACTAAGAATAGCGTATAGATTTAAGGAGCTTATATAAAGGGATCTTGCCTAGAATATAAACCTTACCTTAAAAGCCGATATATTAACCGCCGTCGTGGAGCTAGTATACATCCTCTTAAACAACTCTTCAATTTGTTTCTAGGCGGCGTTCTCGAACCCTATTTGATCAAATGTTCTTCTATTACTCATTGCAGTTGCGGGTGAATCCTATCAGTTTCGATGCGGACAATATTCGGTCCTAACACGCCACCGACCTCCCTGATCCCATCCCAGTACCAAATCAACCCTACGTCGCTTTCGAACCCCCTGGCCCAACCCTCTTCACCTCTTCATAACCTTGATCACACACGTAATACCTTCAAGAAACACCAGGCAAGAGTTTGACCTGATCTGTATTCATGCCGGACCGGTGATGCAAACGTTGGAGGAGTGGTATTTGTTTTAAATCGAGGTTGCCTCGGGTGCTGCAAAGACGAAATGTCTCCGGACAGTCGAATTGACAATCGGTTTTAACCCGATTAGTAAAGCGGTAAAGCGTGTTTCAGCCACCCCCGCAGTGCTCATCGTTTATATAATATCTTGACTCAAGATATAGTGACTTTAGTAGTATTCGAGGCCGAACTTACATCAGGCCAATATACTATTTATATGCTTTCTACTATAATTTTATATAAGTCTCACTATTATAGAAAAGACATTATACGGGAGGAATATCTCGCTTAATACTATATATATAAATGTAATATTTTTTCTCGGCTATTTATAGTAGCTAGTTTTTAATATAATTAAATAGAAGCCATATATTAAAATTACTATTAGCTTTTACTCTTTTAGAATCTAAAGTTCTTTTATTTCTATAATTATTTCTACTAAAGTTATAGTAATATAATAAGAAAGTAAGTTAGGGAATAAAGTACCTGCTATAGAACTTACTTAGTACCCTAAACCTCTTACTTTTAAGATACTATTTACTAATATAATTTATATATATAAAAGTATTATTTTTTAGCTACTCCTATAAGCTATTTTAATTAATTTTTTATTCTAGAATTATAAAACTATATATATACTTTTAGAATCTCAAATTTTTAAATCTATATAATAATTTTTGGGCTAGATATAAGATATAAAAGAAAAGAATATAGGAGAGAAACTATAATAAGACAAAAACTTATATAAAGTATACTAGAGCGCAAAATATAACTTAATAGTAAAATAATAAATTAAAAGTATAAATAGTAAAGTATAAATAGTATATAGCATATAAAAGCTTAATTAATTAAATACTTATAAAGAATTATTCTCTAGAATTATAAAAAAACTAGCTTTCTTATATAATTTCTATAAGTTATATATAAAAGGCCATAGCGTTTATTATATAATCTAAATCTTAAAACCGCTAAAATAATATAATTTTTAAAGAATATAGCTTACTATATTATATCTAATCTCTTATTTATTTATACTTATCTTCTAAATACCAAAAATAATAAAAAAATCCTATTTAGAATCCGAAATAATAAAATAATTAGAATCCTCTTTTATTAGTTAATTTAATTTCTTCTTTATATATTGAAAATAAGACTTATTATTTTTAAATAGTCTTATTTTATATTCCCGAACTTACTTAAAAGTAATTCAAATCCGCTTAACTATATTCTTATACTAAATCCAATATAGTTCTCTATATTAATTAGTATCTGCCTTTAATTATTACTTAATTTCTGCTTTTATTACTAGATATTAAAGAGACTTATTATAGTAAATCATATTATAAATTATACTAATATACTTTAAATAAATAACTTCTTTAAATTTCATATTATTTATAATATTCTTAAATTAGTCTTTAATAAAAGAGAAAAGCTTTAGATAAGAGGCTTTAATATTCTTATAAGAAACTCTATTTTTATATATTTTATTTTTAATAATAACTAGACTTATTAGAATTATAGTAAAAGGCCTATTAAATAGTAAATTATTATTAAGCTATTCTTTAACTTATATATTATTCGAGAATTAATACTTACCTATAATTCCAGACTTATAAATTATCTAACTAAAAGTATTTATTTATCTAATTAAATAAATTATATTTAAAGTCTTTTCTCTTATTATTTTTAGTAAATACTTGCCTATTTTCTTAGCTATTTCTGGCTTAGATTTATTAGAAATAGAAAAGTAATTAACATCTTTAAAAAACTTCTTATTAAAAATAATAGTTTTTTTATAATTTATAAAAGATAATATAGCTAATATTCTAATATTCTTTACTAAAATAGAATTCGCTATTTAAAGCTTTAGTAATAGCTAGATCTTTAGTATTATCTTTATACTAATTATAATTAATATTTCTAGAAATATAGTATTAGGCTAGCTAAGAATAAGTAACTAGATAAATAAGATACTTATTTAATATTTTATAAAATCTTAGCTATATTAATAGATTTATTATTAAGAATTAAGAGGCTAAAATAAAGTAATTATTATTTAGATTTCTATACTTTAATATATTATCTTTTTAGAAATAGAACTATAATATTTCTATTTCCTTTATTAAAAGCTCTTAAATATTAAGCTTCTTAATTTACTTTAGGTAATTCTTCTTATAAATATAGCTATTTATATTTAGATTAGTAATATTAGACTCAGGAATAGGAACTATAATATTAAATTAGAGCTATAAATTTGGGCGAAATTAATTAGAAATATAATATTTATATTTATATTTCTTAATTTCCTAGATCTTAAAAAAGAAATCCCTTATTTTCTTATTTATTTAAGTAATAGAAATATATTTCTTGCTTTTAGTAATTTTATAAATCTTAATAACTAGTTTTAGAATATTCTTAATATCTTATATATTAATAAAAAGAATATTAGTAAGCTACTAAATATATATTATATAAAGAGTTTTAAGAAATCTATTATTAATCCTATAGTATTCTTATTTATAAATAAGTCCCAAAATACTATTATATATTTTCTTAAAAATATATTTATTTTACTAAGTAAGTATTAACTTCTATTTAGCTAGTATCTTATAAGTATATTAGATATCTTTTTTAAGTTCTCTAGATTTAATATTCTTAGTTTTCTGCTTCTTAGTTCTAGATATAAATATAAGAATCTTTTTAGATAATATTTTTTCCTTTAAAATAAAGAATTTCTTTTTATTTAACTTTTCGTTTTCCTTTATTTTACGAGGTTTATACTTGAATTAGTATTTAGATTTATACTATTTTTTAGAAATCTTAGACTTAGCTTATTCTCTATTCTTACTAGATTCTTTTTATCTAATTATACTAGTTCTACTAGTTTTACTAGTAAATTTATTACTAAGCTATATTAAATTAGCTTTATTTTTATTAGCTAGATCTAATTAAGTTAAAATAGAAATTATAATAGGAGCCTATTCTTTAGGCTTATTTTAGAAAGTAAAAAAAGACTTATTATTATAAACTTTCTTAATTAGAATTCCGGAAGTATTAAAGATATATTATCTAGCTTTAAGATTATTAGCTAATAGTAGCTTAAAAGCTAATTCTTTAGGTTCCGAAATAGCTTTAATATACTTGAATATTATAAAAGGGAAACTATAATAAGACAAAAACTTATATAAAGTATACTAGAATATAAAATATAACTTAATAATAAAATAATAAATTAAAAGTATAAATAGTAAAATATAAATAATATATAATATATAAAAGCTTAATTAATTAAATATTTATAAAGAATTATTTTCTAGGTCTATAGAAAAACTAGCTTTCTTATATAATTTCTATAAGTTATATATAAAAGACTATAGCTTTTATTATATAACCTAAATCTTAAAACTATTAAAATAATATAATTTTTAAAAAATATAGCCTATTATATTATATCTAATTTTCTATTTATTTATACTTATTTCCTAAATACTAAAAATAATAGAAAAATCCTATTTAGAATCCGAAATAATAAAATATTTAGAATTCTTTTTTATTAGTTAATCTAATTTCTTTTTTATATATCTAAAATAAGACTTATTATCTTTAAATAATCTTATTTTATATTCCTAAACTTACTTAAAAGTAATTGGAATTTATTTAATTATATTTTTATATTAAATCTAATATAGTTCTTTATATTAATTAGTATTTGCCTTTAATTATTATTTAATTTCTGCTTTTATTATTAGGTATTAAAAAGGCTTATTATAGTAAATTATATTATAAATTATACTAATATACTTTAAATAAATAGCTCTTTTAAATTTCGTATTATCTATAATATTTTTAAATTAATCTTTAATAAAAGAAAAAAGCTTTAGATAAGAGACTTTAATAATTTTATAAGAAACTTTATTTTTATATATTTTATTTTTAATAATAACTAGACTTATTAAAATTAGGTAGAAAAAAAAGGCCTATTAAGTAATAAATTATTATTAAGCTATTTTTTAGCTTCTATATTATTCGAGAATTATTACTTATTTATAATTCTAGACTTATAAATTATTTAGCTAAAGGTATTTATTTATCTAGTTAAATAAATTATATTTAAAGTCTTTTCTCTTATTATTTTTAGTAAATACTTATTTATT